TTACAATCTCAGTCTCCCAAAGAGATGGCGAGTCTTTCCAATCCCAGAAAAGGGGCTCTGGGCGGCCTAGCTCAGCCGTCCCAGATCCATCATCAGCTGTGGCCGGAGGAGGCGGTCATGCTGCACCGGTGGCTGTCGGGCCTCAGTGTTCTAGCCCCGGGTGAGGAATGGGGAGGAGAGGAGCGCTACGCAGCAACCCACAGGTGTGCATGCAGCTCTGCGGTCAGCTGTGGCCGGCCTGTTAGCTTAACAGACAAGGCGGTTCTATCTAGACAGCTCTGCGTTCATGAAGACATGGGGAGGGGGTTGCCCACGTGGGGAAAGCTTTTGAAATCTCTGCCGTGCTGCAGTGTCCTTGCCATCAATTCCTCTTCCTTCTTTCCTGGTCAAAAGAGTTAGAATTGTGTGTGAGTTTCCTTGGGGAACAGAAATGGGGAACCAGACCCTTGGCTCTCAATGTTGATCACCTGCCATTAAAATACAGGAGAGAGAGAAGTGTGAGGCCCGTTCATCCCTCTTAAGACACGTAATACTTGGTCTTGTTCATGAAATTGAATAAAGATCAATGCACAGAAGAGTTGACAGAAAAAAAGTGTTTTGGACACTTTTTAAAAAATCAGAACATTCTGATTCTCACTGAGCCGTCTGGATTTATAGAGGAAATCGGCCCTCCTGAGTAAGAGGGTTTCTCCGAGAACTCTAGGTTTGCCTTTTACTTAAGTTAAAGCATGTAATGTTTAATTCTTTTGGGTGTAGCTCATCTTCTTCAACAGAATACGTGGAAATTAAATATTTCATTTAATTAAAACTGTCATTATTCCACAGTACACATGTGTGACATGCATAGTTCATGCTAATGAGGAATCGGTGCTGTTGGCCAATATTCTTAATGACCCCTGTCAGGTTGGATTTTTAAAAACTCTGCTCTTGCCCTGCCCAGGTGGCTCCGTTGGCTGGGGTGGCTTCTGTACACCAAAAGGCCGTGGGTTTGATTCTGTCAGGGCGCATACCTAGGTTGCAGGTTCGATCCCTAGTCAGGGTGTGTGCAGGAGGCAACCGATCCAGGTTTCTCTCTCACATCCACGTCTCTATTACCCTTTCTCTCTCTCTCTCAAAATCAATTTAAAAACAAACGGATCCTTGGGTGAGGGTTAAGAAAAAATTGTTTTAAAATCTGATCTTGACAATATTTTGTGCGTCCCTTTTCTGTCTGAGACTCTACCCCTCTTGGACGGTACTGTGCGCCTTCTGACATGATGTGGATCTGGAAGAAGGCGAGGCTTATTTAAATAACAGATAAATGGAAGGTACATGTCCTCCTCCTCCTCCTCCTCTCCCCCCCGCCCCCAAGTTGGCATGTGGAGGCTGCTCTGACGAGGAAGGGGAGTGTGCGCTGTTTGTGTGAGTGAACTTGCTGGCACTGGGATAGCTGGAGGCCCTGCCGCTTTCTCGCCCTCAGCCCTGCTCTTTAGAACTGAGGCTGCCGGGCTCACTGACAGCCAGGTGAGCCGGGCGGTTCTGCCGAAGCCGTCCGTGCCCCTCAGTGAGCCGCTTTGTTCTTTTTGGCGGAATGAGAGGAAGGTGTGGTGGAGAGAACATGTGCTCAGGGCTCCAACCCTGTTCCTGCCACCTGTCGGGGGGTGGTGACCTCAGGCGTGTTGTTTAACCTCCCTCAGCCCCCATTTCCCTATCTGTGAGCGATGATTACCTGACGCTGTTCATGGCAAGTACTTGCCGGTGCCTGGCACACCCGTGCTTGGCAGGCACTGCTTTTCCTCCCCCCTCACCAGCTCCTTGCAGACCAGGCCGCCTTGGAATCCACAAGGCTGTGCCCCACAGGGAGCCAGGAGGCCCGGGTACTCTTGGGGGTCACCTGGGATCCGCCCCTTGATGGCCGTATGCCTCAGCCTCCTCTTAAACCACAGCCGGACCGGCTCCATCATGCTTGCTTCCTGCTCTGAAAGGAGGCACTTCTCGCCTGACATACATGACATTGCGCAAGGCGGGAGTTCACGCCCTGAGATCACAGGAGTTTGTCGGTTTGCCCTGCGGCAGGCTGAACGCTCTGACAGTTGGCGTGAGGTGTGCGGCGCGCTGCAATTAAAACCTGTTCCCTTCACAGGTACCTGCCCCTCTTCACCTCACAGGTACCTCTCCTCAGATTTCATGCTATAACTTTAGAACATTTGCAGTCCCTGTTCCTTGCTAGTCACATTTGGGTGGAGGATGAAGGAAGGGTTTTTTATTCTGATCTTTGAACCTTCTTCATGGTTTCTGAACAAGGACATGATCCTACCTGACACCAAGGGGCTGGGGGAGGGCTTCCCTTATTCCCTGCAGCCCCGCTCGGCTGCCCCACGGAGGGGAGCGGCCCTCCACATGCTGCCTCCCCCTGGGGAACAGGGCCGGGCTGCGGAGCCGCAGCTGTGAGCTGGCAAAGCACCAGCTTCATGAATCGCCTGTTAGAGCTGAGGGAGCAGGAATGACCCCCCCTTTCTCTTCTTCACTTTGGAGTCAAACCTAGAAAGCTCCAACGCCTCAGAGCCAGTGCTGGTTCTCGCTCCAGACAGGCCCATCCTGAAACCTTTGGGCTCTGGTTCCATCTGGCCAGTGGGCCGTTTTTGCCAGACTGGGGTTTGGTCCCGGAGAGAGAGCACCGGTGGGATGCAGCTGGGGGAGGCGGTTGCCTCGTGCCTCCTGGGAGCTCACTGTCCAGAGGCCCTGCCTCGGGAGTGGCTCCCGGCGGAGGGAGGAGCCTGAGCACTGACACCAGGGCCGCTCCCTTTGAAGTGGGCGCCTAATTGCGGCTTTGATGGCACTGGCTTCGGGGTGGGTTGGGCTGCGCCGGGGCTCGCCTGGCTCACCAGGCCTCGCCGCAGCCCCAGTGGAGCCTCAGATGTGGGGAGTCTCTCGTCTCCCAGCGTCGTGCCTGTGGTTTCTTGAAAAGATTCTTGATTTGACCAGTTTTATATCTGTGAGCAACCCTGCCAGCCCCCGGTAGTCCCACTTGGAGGTGAGACTCTGTCTGCCCCGACAACCCCGTGTGTGTGGAAGCAGCCGGATTCGGACCGCCACACCGGACAGCGAGGCGGTGTCTCTGCCCACGTGTTCAAATATTTGGCCACTGTTAGGAACGTGGCCCAGTGGGGGCGAGCTGCTCTTGGTCCCTTGTACGGAGGATTCCGAAGCCAGCTTTTCCAGAGGAATTGAGAGGGGGCACATAAGGAAATGGTGGCAGGGGGTGTGTGGCTACCCAGGAGAGAAATGGCTTCGCTAGATGCTGAGATTCCTGTGGGAAGCACAGCACGTTATCTCTGGGGAACGGCCCGGGCAGACAGCTTGTTCTGACTCTTGTCAGCGCTGCAGCTCCGCTCAGAGGGAGGTGGCCCATGGGGGTGAGGTCGGAGGGAAAAGGGCGCCTCGGAGAGCGGAAGTGGGGGTGCTACAGGCTCTCAGGTGTCCAGCCCTGCTCAAGGACTAGGACCACAGCAGGGCCGTGGAGGTCTTGACCTCATGACCTCACAGTCAGACTGTGGCTGACATGAGGGATGGATCGTGCGTTTCCTGCAGCCGGTCTGAGGCCCAGTCCTCTCCCGCTGCTTGGGCCTGGCCCAGGGCCGCCGGCGTCCGCATCCCTTAGGAAACCAGAGGCTGCATATTCTCCTGTCACACGGAGAGGGGCATCGTGCAGGAGGACAGGCGCTGACCGTGTCCTCAGCGGACAGCAGTCTGCGGGGCTAACTGCCCTCTGCTTGGTGGTCGCTCTGTCTTCTCAGTAACTACCCAGGTACACAGACATTTCCGCGCAGTTTCGATGAGTCCTTTTGAGGCCAATCGTGCCAGCAGCAGCTAGTGTGCCCGGGTCACCGTGCCTCCCTGCACCTCAGGCGCCGCCTCCCCTGCCCTGGCGGCCCCACCCCCGGAGCCTCTCCTACGTGAGCAGCACGTGGCCTGCAGCCTTCCCCTCCCCGCCAGGCCAGTGTGCATTCTGACACTGTTCCAAAGCTTCCTTCCATTTCTCCTCTAAGCCTCTCTCCACTCAAACAGCATAAAGACATTCACTGTTAGAATTATTATTTTTTTTTTTTTTAAAGAGAACGTGTGCTGGCAACAAGGACAGCACCAACACGAATACTGAGATTGACTGGGGATGGCCGGGGACCTGGGTCGTCTGACCCAGAGGGGGGAGGGGGCACAAGGCCTCCCCAGGTTCCTTCCCGGGTGAGGAACCGAACTTCGGGGTGCTTGCACTTTCCCTTCATCTTGGTCTCATCCTGGTACAGTGTTTATTTTATCTTTAGTTGCTTTAGAAAATCTTAGCTTATTTTAGGGTTTTGGGGATCCTTTGTGAAAGTCATCATCAGCGTATCAAACAACAGTTTCTCAAATACTTGTCACGTGTACCTACCAAGGCTGACAGTTATTGGAGATCTCAGTTATTGGGAAGGAAAAAAACCAGAGGACTGTAACGTCTTGGGTGAGACCGAGAGGCGTATGCGCCAGTGGACTGAGGGGTGCACGGAGCACATGCCGGTCTGTCGGTCGCAGGGGCCGGCGGTGGGCATGTGCCTGCGCGGGCGGATGGGAGCTGGGGTCAGGCCTGTGCAGGAGAATCACACGGTGGATCCCCACAGAACACCAAACACTTAGACAACAGCTCTTCCCCTGATGTGGCCGTTGCCCGCCATTACAGTTCACGTTTGTCCATGATCCAAAGTATTAAATGGATTTTTTTAAAGTGTATTTCCCATCATAACCTATACATATATATACGTACGTGGAACCAAAATAAACATTTCAATAAAGTACACTTGCCTCTCACGTAGTCTGGGGATACGGGGCGACCATGGGGCAGTCCGTGAAGCCATCACCGAATCAGCAAAGTGGACTGGTTCCAGGCAGAGATCCCAAGTCACGCACCGTGTTCAGTAGGCGGTGAAAACCTTGGCCAGGCCTTAGGCAGAGTCCCATTAACAGCATCTCCTGTGTTCCTTCCTGAGGTGGAAAACGAAGCTCATTCCCCACGTGCAAAGCCAAGGCGGCGGCCCCGGGACCCCTCCTGGAGATGGAAGCTTGTTGAAACCCAGACCGTCTCCACGGCCTGCCCCGCCGACCCCAGAGGAGAACTGGCACCACCTTCACCCTGAGGTCACTGCTAGAGACACTGATCCACAGAGACAATCACTGCCGAACCCCCTTCATCTACTGCAAGAGCCACGGTCCGCAATAAAGCGCTAAAGGTTTTTTTTAAAAGAAGATTCAGCAGCACACGAGAACGCCAGCGGGCCCTGGGTCAGCTGAGCCGCTTTCCTCCCCGCGTGTCCGCCATGCACTTCCCAGAGCATCTTGCATCCACACCAGTAACCTCTCGGCAAGGACGGTGGCCTGGCTGCCCCCGCGGGCCTTGGCCCCCTGGACTCGGCAGCCGGCGTGGCCATCGGCTTCCCCGTGGGAACGTGTGGCCGAGTTCCCTCTGCACCCCCGTCTTCGCTTTTCTCTCTCTGCCTTTCTCCTGGAGCTTTTATTTAACAGTGCAAAAGGATCAAGTTTGCTTCCTTTTTTTTTTTTTTCTTAAACTTGAATATTTTTTTAATTTACACTTTTTAGTTTTAATTTTCCTGTATATTTTGCTAGCTATGAGCTTTTAAGTAAAATTCAAAGATCTGGAAACGTTTGAAATAAAAAGGAACTGAAAAGAAGCCACTGTTTTTTTTGAGCAACATCTTGTCCTACAGTAAGTGGCCACGTCCACTCTGCTGGTCGCAGTCGGCAGTCCTATTCCATTTTATTTTTCTTCGGATCTCCTTTTTGTTTTTGTTTTTGTTTGTTTTTTTAATGGTAAACCTTAACAGATACTTTCGGTAGTCCAGTTTGCAGTGAATTTTCATTTCTTTCCTTCTCACCCCTTCTTGTAAAAAGCCCAGCACTTGAATTGTTATTACTTTAAATGTTCTGTATTTGTATTTGTTTTTATTAGCCAATTAGTGGGATTTTATGCCAGTTGTTAAAACGATCATTGATGTACCCTTTTTTTTTTTTTTTTTCAAATAGCAAGGCACAGCCTTTGCCCCAAACTGTCATCTAACGTTTGTCATTCCAGTTTGCGTTAACGTGCTGAGCATTTTTTAAAAGGAGCTTTGTAATAAAAAATTTTTTAAAGTCTAATTTTTTTAAAGCACGAAGTACCTGATCATCTAGAGATGGTGATGGTGAACTAACTCCATGGGCCAGGCCACAGCTGCTCTGACCCTGACTGCGGGGTGCTGCTGCCGCAGCTTTAACGGTGCGCCTCCAAGGACTTGTCCGGAGCGGGAAAGGGCCCCTCCGCCTCCTTCCCCGGAGGAGATAGAGTCAGGGCCAAAGGGGAGAAGCGCGTCCCCAGGATGCAGACGGGACTGAGTCCCTGCCCGAGCCCCTCAGACGTCACTGTGGGCTCCCCCCCCCCAGCTTGTCTGCAGGGGTGCCGCGCTTTCCGCTTCACAGCTCACTGCTGCTCAGACGGGGTCCCCAGGTCAAGATGTCCCAGTGCTGAAGGAAGGTTTTAACTCCCTCTAGTCTCTCCAAAGCCCACGTGTCCCCAGTACTGAGTCTGTAGTCTAAAATTCTCCCTTAAGCTTTTGGTACACTGCTGGTATATGACTTAGCCAAAAATACACATTTGCGCTTCAAACATCAGTATTTCATGATTTTCCACGATGGGTCTCCCATCCATTGAGATAGCATTTATACCATTGGTCTAACTTAAGTCTCTAGCTGAAATCCTATCTCTTTTTTTTCAACTTTCAATACAGCTGGGGAACAGCTGGCTACCATACTTGTAATAACCCTCCGCATACTGTACTTGAAGATTGCCATTAAATCACCCCTCAAATTTCTCTTCTCCAGGCTAAGTAATCCCAACTCCTTGAACCTTTCATCATCAGTCCTTTAATCATTTTTATTACTATCCTCTGGAACCTCTCCAATTCCTCTTCATTTAGTCCTAACTTGAACCAGGGAAAAATGTCTATTTTATGTTCAGGGGACCTACTTTTTATAAAGGTTTCATATTTATTTTAAAATTATCTGAGCTTTTTTTACACCAACCAAGTAGTTATACCTGAAACCCCACCATGCTTTTTTTCAGGAGTTGACTAGAAAATCCAACAAAATGATGTAAAAGGTGACATTAAGTGTTACTTTTATTGGGGGGGAAGGGTTGTAGCAACATTATTAATCGGCTTTTCTGGATCTTAGAAATAAATCCATGAATCATAAAAACCTGTCCATTAAGTAGACAGCAAGGAATCAGAGCTGAGAATCAAGCCTTGCCCAAGCCTACTACAGCCCTCTCTATGGGTACCCCTCCACAATTTTCACACACAAAAAATAACAATGTTGAAAGAAATGGGTTGTTTGCATCCTCTCCAAGCCAGTGGTTCCTTCCCCAAACCCAGGACCCTCTTCTTGTTTTTCCATTGAGGATATTTTTCCATCGCTTTTTTTAGAGAGAATGGAAGGGGGAGGGAGACACCGGGAAACATCAATATGAGAGAGACATTGATTGGCTACCTCCCCCAATCCCCTGAGTCTGCAACCAAGCCACATGCCCTTGACTGGAATAGAACCTGCGATCCTTCAGTCTCCAGGCCAACCTTCTATCCACTGAGCCAAACAGACTAGGGCCCCTCTTCTTTGTTTTGCTTTCAGGATAACTTTTCCCAGAGGACTTGGATGTGGATGCACAGTGCTCAAGTCTTGCCCATTCTGCCCAAATCCTGCTTTCTGCCACCGAGGGTTCCGGGGAAGGAGAGCCAAGAGCCCCTGGAGGCACAGGCCAAGGGAAGCTGTCCTGGGCGCTGGGCAGCGGGGCTCCTCCAGCCTCTGCTCCTGGTCTTGGGTGACTCGGCTTTCTTCCCTGCGGCAGGCTCGGAGCTGACCGCCTGCCTCCAGGAGGACGATGGCCCCCTTTTTTCCAGCCTTTCTCCGAGGCCACAGTTGGTGCACTGGCCTTCCCAAGGGGTGTTTTCTCCTGGTTTAATTTGTTTGACTGCTAGGGTTGCTGGCAATGACCTGTTGAGCTGGAAGGAGCCTTTGAACAGGTATCCCAAGTACAATATTTTCCTTTTTTTATATTTTATTGATTTTTTTCACAGAGAGGAAGGGAGAGGGACAGAGAGCCAGAAACATCGATGAGAGAGATACATCGACCAGCTGCCTCCTGCACACTCCCCAACGGGGATGTGCCCACAACCAATGTGCATGCCCTTGACCGGAATCGAACTTGGGACCCTTGAGTCCGCAGACCGACGCTCTATCCACTAAGCCAAACTGGTTTCGGCCCAAGTACAATATTTTCTTTTCTCTATAGTTCGGTCTAAGGCTGCAACAATATGAAAACCTCTACTCAGGGCCCCGGAGAAATATCGACATGTCTGTGTGGCTTTCCTTTTAAAGGAGAAACATCACGAGGGAGCAACGCATGTTCTGACAAAAAAAAAGGGAAGCATATTCCACATGACAGTAGTTGCACAAATACATTTACCATATTTCCCATGGAATGTTATCTTTCATACAGAGAATCTTAGGAGCTGCCTGAACTTCCAGGGATATAAACAGACATACACACAAAATTTTGAGCTGCTTTTTACTAAGGTAGTTTGCAATTAAGCGTCTTAAAACGAATAGAATGATGTGATTCTAAATGCTTAAGTGTATTGGGAGGAAAATAAGATAATTGATTTTGTTGTCTCTCACTTAGTGGACACCCTATTGGAAATAGCTCAACTTCCACACCTCTCTAATGGGAACACCTATATTCTCCTCCTCTGCTGCCAGGAGTGGTGGTGAGGGAGGCGAGGAGAAGGGTGTACAAGAGCTTCCTTTGAAAATAAACATTACTCACACTAGACAACCCAAGTTAGAACTTTATACATATTAAGTAATATAGAATTAATAACTTATAGTAAAACTTGAAGAACTCCAGTGAACACTGGCTACTCACTTCATTGCCCCGTCTGAGAAACAATCTAATGTCTTTCATAGGGAGCGCTGGGGGCCACAGCAACTGGTGTAAGAGAAATGCCCGGCACCCTCATCCAGTACATATCACTGAGCACCTGCCAGTGGGCTGTGCTGAAGTGGTGGTGCGCCAGAAAAATGTTTGCACGCTTACTGGCCATCTCATGTGTTAGAAGGTACAAGCATTCTGTTGCTGATCGTAATTGGGACTTTAAAAACCAGCTCTATGTTAGGAAGGAGGTGGTGCAGCAGGGAAAGCCTGGTTTGGAGTCACAGAGCCCATTCCCACCACTGCTGTGTGCCAAGCACCCACCCCTCTGGGCATACCTCCCCGTGGGCTAAATGAACAGACCAGTGACCTTTACAAAGGAGAGACTCCTGCCAGATAGGAAATAACTAGTAAACGAATTTCTCCTCGAATTGCTTTATAATTTGTTATTAAACACACTTCCTTTGCTTAGTGTAAAAAAAAAAAATTGTGTTTGTACTGCCTATAGCCATAAAACATGTGAACATGTTTCTTCTGTCCATGGAAGCAGTTGGTAACCAAGCCTAACCAATCCATCTGGTCCAAAGATCAAGGAAATACGGAAAATGGGTAGGGTTTGGATTGTACTGGGTCATGGACACTAATGTGTTTACTAAATACTTTTCATAATCTGTAATAGCTTGAGATGCTACCAGCTAAATTACTTTAAAATATTTATTTCCCTTAAATAATAGGAGAACTTGGTAGGCAATGTATGATTTGCCAGATAGAATAACACTGCTTAATTGAATTGGCAATCACACTACTTAACTGTTTGACTTTGCAGTCCAGTGGAATTAGTAGATTAGTCACTTCCTCTTCTCCATCTCTAACTTATGAGCCCACCAAAGTAGAATGGAGCCCTACCAATCAGCCTGTTTGTTGTTACAGATTCTACCAAAGTTAGGTCAGACACCTGCTGCTCGATTGCAGAAAGGTGTTCAAATCCAGCTTGCCCTCCACACCAGCTCGGGTCACCCTTAGCACTCACAGAGCAAGGCCTGCCGTGCTCCTGGGCTGCCTGCTGCAGTCTCCTCCGTCACAGGCTGTGC